GACATTGCTGGTGCGTTCATTTCAATGAGCCATTTCATTTTCCCACCGCCAACTTAGTTCACTCCAAATTAGATCGTTGCCGTGCTTCGCTTGGACTCGCCTTTCACTGATTGATCCTGAACATGAAAACGCAGGGCAGTTGCGCGCGAGGTGCTTGAAGAAGCGAGGCAAACAAGGATTGGACATCAGATCGGATGAGACCCAAGATAAAATCCCAGACACACAAGCAGCATAAATTCAAAGGAACCAAAACCATAAAATGACCAACAAAAAAATTCACCTCAACCGCTCTCTCGGCAAATTTATAGAAACCAGGTCAAAATGCCACACGAGTTCTACATCAATGGGAGCGGTTCAGACTCAGTATTTGTCGAATGACACGAATCATCAAATGGCAATGAAATACTGTACATTCTACTCGGCGTAGCTTTGACAAGTTTGGCTACAGACGTATTTTGCAAGTCCCAAGTGGCGAGAGCGGCTTTTGCAGTGACCGAAGAGAGCACAGAAGAATCGAGGGCCGGTGCGCTGGCCCTCTGAGGAGGAATTTGGACATGACATTCGGTTGCTTCGGAAGGAAGATTGGATTGACGTGGCAGCAGGTGGAGACTCGAATGTGATTGAGCCCAAATCATCTCATTCTGAAAGACCTTCAGACGAGAGAGACGACGAAATGAAGAGACTCGAGGGTTGGGAATCGGCGAATGCCGTTTCATGGATCGAATGCAGGACTCCAATTCAGCGCTTCTGATCACGCGGCGGCCAACCGAGACCGGCGTCCACGCTCGCGTCCCGCCCCCCTGCCATTTTACAGTAGATTCCCTTCTGGTCTGGTGGGTTCCTCGCTCCCGAACGCCACCGCCGCCGATCACCGCAATCTGGTCGATCGTCTCGGGTGTCTTCAGTCTGTGAGTGATCAGCAGCACGTTTCACTCAGAACGCCTCAACAGACCCTGCAGGACCTGCGCCGGGTGGGACAAACAGAGAATGTCTCGAGTCACATTTTTACGTTGAGGTTGCATTCAGCGTCGTAAGATGAGTTTGAGCTGGAGCTGAGGGCTGCGAGGTTCCCGGATCAAGAACTCTCGCTATTCGAACCCCGTCCGACTGGCACCTTGCCTTCGCTGGGCTCATCCAGGGAGCTGGTGACTTCGTCCAGGATGAGGACCCGCGGCCGTCTGACCAGCGCTCGGGCGATGGCCACGCGTTGCCGCTTGCTCTTGGACAGCAGGCCGCCCCCCTCACCGACCTCTGACAGACAATCACATCAGCGCGGCGCTCTTCTTCTCACCCGGACGCGCTCATCGGCAGAGGTTGAAGCGCGCAGGTCAAAAGTAAGTCTCAAGTTCTGGCCTGCACGGTTTTAGTGACGCAAGCCAAATCAAGCAGGCCCTGTGCCCACACGAACTGGCAACAACGGAGTTCACGTTGAGCCTCGGGAACGCCGAGGTGAGTTTTGGCCGAGCAAGTCTCAAGTCTCCGAATCGGCGACAGCACACAAGGAGGAAGTCCGCTTGCGCTCACCCATGTCGTAGCCCTTCTCCAGCCGGGC